TCGTAGTATGGTTCGGCATCACGCTTTTCGTTGTTAGCGTCGCGTTTGTAATATTCGTAGTATGGTTCGGCATCACGTTTTTCGTTGTTAGCGTCGCGTTTATAATATTCGTAGTAGTATGGTTCTGCATCACGTTTTTCGTGGTTAGCGTCGCGTTTGTAATATTCGTAGTAGTATGGTTCGGCATCACGTTTTTCGTTGTTAGCGTCGCGTTTGTAATATTCGTAATAGTATGGCGCGGCATCACGCTTGTAATATTCGTAATAGTATGGTGCGGCATTACGCTTTTCGTGATTGGCCTCGGCATTTGCATTTCTCTTGAAGTTAGGAGCTATTAAGAGACAGACGGTAAAAGAAATTGAGAGATACCATACATGTTAAACCCATTTATGTTTTCATTCAATAAACTTACCACCCATACTGGTAGTGGCCATAACGGCCAATACAACAACGATTGAATGGTATTTCATTTTTCTTTTCTTTTCTTTTTTTTTTTTGTATATGTATGTGTGTGTTAAAATTGTTTGTAAACACTTGCTTGTCTTGGAGAATGGGAAGAAGGGGTTTTTATAGGTATTTTGCGATTTATATTTTTACAATCATTTATACAAGGTGGTTCTCTTGACACGCAAATTGCGAGAGTTCAATCACTGATGATATGACAAAGTCGAATATAAGCCTACATACAAAGCTAATTTAAAGTCGCTAAGCATTCAATCAAGTTTGATCAAAATTATGATCATTTATTTGTATGCATAATGTCAAATATTATGTGCGTGGCGAAAAAGTTACCGAACCTTTTTTATTTAGTCAAAGCTACAGTAATATAATGAAATGATTTAAATGCGTCATAAGCTATAGATGAAACAGCAAATTGGTAAATTGGACATAACAAGCCATAGATATGAAATTTTTTGCGTGCGCATCGCCCTACTCACCTGAAGAAAAGTTTAAAGCCACAACGCATTTTCTGTAAATGCTGAGGCTTGGTCTCAATTTTTACTCAGCCAGTGATCATTCGAGGCTTTAAGGTGATCTAATCATTTTTCAAAAAAAAATTTTGATTATTCCAAAATTATGACGGGTTTTATAATCCAAATATCAAAAATAGCACCAAAGCGGTCTCATACTTTATTTACTGTAAATAACTTTAATTAATAGTAATTTGTAATAAATACATTATTTATTGAGTGACACAAATAATTTAGGAGAATGTTTACCCGTTGTCCGAACCATTAAACATTTCAAAGAAAAAAAAAAAAACTCTCCCGTCAAATTAAGCGATCGAATACAGACTCATTTATAGCACAAACTGTTGTCGATATTCACACCATAAAAGCCCTATTTTTATAATAAAACCAGTGATTCTAAAAGGAAAAGAAATAGAAATATTGAAGATTTGTTAATTTTATGATGTTGGGGGTAAGATGAAGTATCCGCGAAACACGGCTAGATGTTTGTCGGTGACACGAATACCAGGATCAGTAATGACATACTTTATTCAGTCGAACGATACTAATGATAGTAAGCCTTGATGGCGTAATGTGGTGTTAGCAAAGGTGGGAAAATCCGTGAGCATGTTTAAAGAACAGTAGCCGTCGTAAAAAATACACAACTTAAGTTATTAGATTTAAACTAATTATAATTTATTAGAAAAGGACAAAAATTTAAACTAATTTTGTATTTAAAATTTTTTTCTTTAACTCACAACCATGCCATCTGACTTATTTTTATTGAGAAGTTTATAAAACTAATTACACTATTACAATTTTCATAGAAGTGACTAACTTGTTATTGTATCTAAGTACTCTAAGTCAGGTTTGAGAAACAATATTTTACTTTTCTAGAAAATAGGTATTAATTTCTATTTTCGACCTATGGGTCTGTAGTGCAGTGGTTAGCACTCCGTAGGTCATATCACAAGGTCACTAGATCAAATCCTCCAGGGGGCAACTCCTGACGCTGGTAGATCTACCCCATTGGCATAACTGTAAACTAACCGATGCTTTCGAATATAGCTCTGATCACTGGTCAAATGGGATTTCCGATATGATTACAGGATGGTCTATATAAAGATTGTGATATGGTTGAATGTCCAAAATTAGGTAGGATTATTCTGACACAACCATGTTACCAGAAGAAAACTGGTAATAAGAAGAGTAGATATTGAACTAGTAGCATACTGCTGAAGGAAGGAATGGTAAATCAACCAAAGAAAATCCCGGTTTCCTGTCTTGATGTTGAGGCATCTGTTCAAGAATTCAAGTATGTGGTTGTGCCGAGTTTCATAGACTTGACTATCGAGAGGTCTTGGTGGGAAAAGAAATTCATGAACCACTCCAAAAAATTAAGAAATCTGAAAAGTCCAGGATAAAGAAAATTCAATGGTCTGATAACCAGACTACTCTTAATATAAATAAAATTGTTCTGGAAAAAATTAAGAAGGAATCGCACATCTTTCCAAATAGATAGTAGTTATATATGGAAGTAGAATAGATATAGCTACTCATATAGATATGTTTACTTCAAAAATATATAATTACTTATTGACAAATATATAATAAGGGTTTGTACAGATCCCTCAATTGTGACTCCGGGGAGGAAGGCCCGATGTATCTGTGAAATCTGTACAGCATATATGTTAATAAAAGATGTGATCAACACTGCAAACCAAGAACTTCAATAGAGAAATAGTGTATCTCCCAACTCTTTAAATACTACACTTTTGGAATATACTACACAAGACAACATGAACTCACAAAGAAGTCAAAACTAAAATCACAGTTTTAACAAGGTTGCAAAGAAGCTTAGAAAAACTAACTAACATAATAAAAGGTCCCACAAATAGTCTCACTACCTTAAAAACAATCAAAAAGGAACTAGATGACTATGCAATCTTCAATATCTATACAGATGGCTCCCTAACCAAATTTAGAGACAAAAACTACATGGGACTGGGATGGATTATCATCACCCCAGATCAGAAGACATACACCTTCCAGGGACAAATAACTAGACATATCTCATCAACCAGAGCAGAAATAGTAGCCATCCTAACAGCCCTTGGCACTCTACCCGAATACAGCACTCAAATGTATTCACCAACAGCCAAACAGCAATCAATGAAATCATAAAAACACAAAGAGAAAGTATGAAAAAGATTATAAAACACAGAAAAACTATAACATACTGCTACAAATCTCCAAATGGTGCAAAGTACAAAACATAAAGCTGTTACTCTTTAAGGTGAAAGGCCACTCAGGAATCGACCACAATGAAATAGCAGACAAACTAGCACAAATATATCCTTAGAGAGGCATGCTACCAGGAAAAAATGAAATTGAGATAGCAAATACACAATTAACATATTGGAATAACCTCTCAATGGAACAATATCTCTACTGAAGTTTCCATAAAAATGATCACAAAAAAGTTAACAAGCACCATACAACTAGCAAAATGGAGACTACTAAACAGGACAAGATATAACTTCAGTAATAGAATCATTAAAGAAACGGATTGGCCTACAACCATTACATACTTGCAACAAATTAAGATAAGTGACCACCATACAACTTGAGAGGATCAAAAGTTGAGAAAATTCTGTCTCAGCATATGGAATGAGGAATTATCAACCAAAAGCAAACTATATGCAAGAGCTCAATTTTTATATAAAAACAAGGACTGCCTGATATGCAAAGAACCAAAAACAAACACACATCTCTTCACGTGTCTATAAATTAGACAAAGTACTGAAACATTTATAATCAACATGATAGTTGAAAGTGTGAAAATACATATGGATGGAGTTAAAAGCTCAAAATTTACAGATCAGCTAAAAAACAAAACTAACTTGAGATATAAGGAATACTTAATAACAAGTATAAGAGGCGTATTCTTCAAAGAACTAATCTGCGACATTAAAAGAATAATCCCAGACAAACTAGTCAAGAAAAGCTGTATATCCTTAATACGTATAAAAATCATCAAACATCTCTATCAGATATGGACAAAAAAATGTGAGGCTTTTCAAGAGTGGAAAACACAAAATGGAATCACAAAACAAAAAGTAAAAAAGTTTAAGTATGAATCTAAAGATAAAGACCCAACCTTTATGCAAAGAGAACAATTCATAAACGACTAGTTTGTTCACCTGGTCAATGAATTTATAACACAATGAATAACAAACGCAATAGACAACTTCCATATCTTAGAAATTTATTTTAGTACTAGCCCGGCCTTGGCAGGTTAGCTTCCAATAAAGGGATGGCAACAAGCCACAAGGTGAATCTCTTGTAAGAGAGGTTATCTCTATTGAGTTTTGTTTGGTAGTAGACTGATAGTATATCTTAGAAAATTTCTATATAACAATACTGCATAAATACAAATAAAACAAGGCTGAGCTAACATTATAAAAAAAAAAAAAATTTCTATTTTCTTTTTTAATTTTTAACCACAACTGGTATTAGGTGCAAGCTTTATTAAAGAATTAACCTAATTTGACGGATAATTAAATCCTACAGCAGTTACATCAATAATCTTCTACAAGCCATTTATTTCTATATCTATATAGCTTAATGATAACCTATTGCGGTTTGTCCTAGATAGATCTGCAACCACTCTGTGAGTGGACAGACCTAGCTAGGGGCCAGATGGTCAAATATACAGTCATTAATGGTGAGTTAGGCTAATTTAGTATTGAGCTTTTATAAATTTTTTATATTATATTCACTAAATTAGGCTGTTAGTATATACCCGACAGGATATACTGTATAACACCTTTCAATATTCCTAAATATATTATTTGCTCAGACCTCAGAAGGGAGCACTTTCCTTCTTTGTCACCATCTGTGGCATCGGATCAGTCCCTATTAACGGATTTTCAATTAAGCAGAGCACCAGATTGAGATATTCTGAGCTAGGAGAGTGGGGGTCCTGGAAGTTGCCAAGTCAAAGTGGGGTTTTGGTGCATTTGTGGAAGGCTAGACCAGAAGCCTTTCTTTATGCAATCCTTCCAGTAGAACGACTATAGATCTCAGCCCCTGATCGATAGAAGGCCAAAAGTCCTATCTTCATGTAGCCTAACCTGATTAGAACTTGTTTCAGATGATTGAGTACAACTTTCACAGGATAACCGGTCAAATCTGATCAAAAGAATAATTTTTGATTTTGGTTCTTAAGTGGTATTAAAATTCAGACCTTGTGATTGCAACTTGAGAGCACTACCACTGTGCTATTGACCCACAGGTCTAAAAAATTTCTATTTTCTAGGTTTATCATCAATAGTTTATTACTATCAATTGATCTAAAAAACTATGATTTGTTAAGTTAAAAAAAGAAAAAGAGGAATAACAAAAAAAAACAATTCAAGGTTTTTTCAAAAGTTAACCAAAAATAACAATATATTTTTTAAAGAGATTCATCAAATTGAAAT